TATGCATTTAAAAATATATAATAAGTACTGCTCTGCGCACTATAGTACGTCGTATACACTGACTGGGTGCATCTTTTTTTCACGGCTACTGATGGTAAGGAAAAAAACCGTACCACCACCAATAAATAGTCGTACTGATGTCCTAAAATCAGTATACTCAGTAGATAATTTAAGATCACTAAAGGTGAGACTAAAAATTTCTGTGTAAGTAAGCAATAAATATAACGTTGGTCTAGTACTTCTTGTGATCAAATATTGAAGTAGGGGATTTTAAATGAAAAAGGTCTTTCCGTGTATATACTATAGCTATACGAGCAGTCTTTGGCAATGCCCCTTCACTGTTGTGCCATTTGCTCGACGGAACATTCTCCCTAGATCGTACAGCTATATATACGATCTAGGGAAAAAGTTCCGATATTGAATCCGCCTAACCCAACGCTGGTTGGACTAGCCGCCAATCTTATGCACCGATCAACCAATGTTGAGAAACCTTATGATTCGTGGTACGTTTTTTTTTTACGATCGGTCGGTCGATTGCTCGAAGAAGTATATCCATACCACGAAGTAAGAGATATCTCTTACTTCGTGATCCATACTTGATACTTACCATGAAATCGTACCGACCAATCGACTAACCGAACGTTAAAAAAATACACCCAAAATATTTTTGTGATGCCGCTGAATGATGACGAAAGGTAGTAGTGTGACACCAGCCACCACTGACAAAAAACTTTTTTTTTTACAATAATATATACTCAAAACTAGAGTGGCAGTAATGTCGCGATTACGAGAATGAAGTAAAGTGAAGAACTCACGTGAAGTACGAGGTGAAGTAAGCGCAATACCAGGAGCTGAGCCCAAAGTGTCTACATAAAATACCTGCCGCAACTTTTAGAAAATTTGAGAATCTTTATGATTTGGGGAGATCTTGAGCATTTTTGTGATCTTTTGTTTTGATCACAAGTTATAATGTAATTTAAAAAGTGCAATTTGGTCCAAACGATATTACTGCAGTACCCGAAAATGGCTCCGCAAAAAATGTACGTTTTCCAGTAAAAGGGGGGCGTTTACAGAAAGTATAAAAGTCCCTACCTTGCCGCAAATGATGTTTTATTAAACAACTTTTTATTTTCTATCTATTAGATTAGGTTGTGGCAGTAATATCGTTTGGACTAAATTGCACCTTATATGTTGCTGTATAACTCATGATAAAAAAAAAATCCCAAAAAAATACTTTAGACTATAACCGTTACGAATCATGACGTTTCTCAACTTTTGTGGAAGTTGCGGCAAGTATTTTTTTTTTTATTTCGGGATCAACTCTTTTCTAGTATTTATAGTAGATTTGTTCAAGCCACTCAACAGAACAGGTTCTGTATATATAGGTATATTTTGTTAAGGAGCTATTCACATATCCATTTTTTGCTTATTTCATTGTGAACGTTCATTTTGAAAAGGGGGTTCCACTGTTCCGCTAAACTCAAATTGAGTGAACAGACTGAACAGACCTATACCTCTTTTTCCATCAGGCAACAAAGTCTATGGTCGCAACTATGTTGACAGAGAACACAGTATAGGTCTGTTCAGTCTGTTCACTCAATTTGAGTTTAGCGGAACAGTGGAACCCCCTTTTCAATATGAACGTTCACAATGAAATAAGCAAAAAATGTCGATGTGAATAGCTCCTAAGAGAACCGTATTGAACTAAAAAGGGGCTTGGGGTGTGTTCCAGTAACGCTCTCTGACAACTTACTGACAACTTAATTATGTCTTACGATATCTTGCGTCATGTTTAAGTTGTCGGTAAGTTGTCGGAGAGCGCTACTGGAACACACGGTTGAACGAACCTATAGTGACGAAATTGCGTATATTTGCACAGTCGATAAAGAAAACCACCTGCACCGGTTTGTCTGCCATGCCATGCCGTCACATTGTATAGTAACATCTCCGATTTTTAACAAGCCTTAATTGAATCTAATCTGAATTTCAAACCAAATAAATTGTTAGTCTTGATCGATGGCATCAAGATCGCTTTGAAACAACTGCGAATCAAAAATCAGTGAATTACAAAATGACCAGCACCTTCACCTGTTACATATTTTTTTTGCTCACAGTAGTAAGTTTCTTTTTCTTTGTGTTCAACTACGATAATCAGTCGTGTATTTACTAACTAAACATGACATAAGTTTTATGTACTACTTGTAGTTCTTAAATTTGGATGCTTACGAAATAATAAAGATGGATGATTGATTTATGATTACGTGTGCTTCAAATTTTCTATTCTCATTTCAGACCAACTGTTTGTCCGAATATTCTGATGAGGAATGCAGCGAGGCTGGTTTCAACAAAGATAACTTAGTTTGTTCAACGTGTAAATTATTCCCAAAATTTAATTTGCCGGAATTTTAGTAAGTTTACTTGATATTATTTATATTCAACTAGTACAAAATTCATAGGCAACAATAACCATGAAAATATTTTTCAGTGATAATTGCACTAAATGCTGCATGGAAGATGAAGATTATACTGTATATGCCAAAGCAATACTTGAAATGTGCAATTGTAAATTTGGAGCTTACCCGCAAATTCAAGGTGACTTGATTGGCTTTATTTTTTTCAAAATGTATTCCACGATTAAATCTCAATTGTATGGGTGCATGATAATGACAGGCTGCAATTACATTAACATTACTGAAATAATTATTTTTGTATTCAACAGCTTTCATTCAAAGTGATCGACCAAAAAAATACAAAAACTTGCAAATAAAACATGTTAATGGACTGGATCCAATTATCAAATTGAAAAATGAAGAGGGTAAAGTGGTTAATACGCTAGACATTACCAAATGGACTACTGATAATGTTGTTGAATTTTTGGATTTGCATTTATTGGGGAACATTCAAAAGGACGAATTGTAACAGCAGTAACTACTGCCCTCAAATCTTGCAAAACTGTTGTACCAAATGTCATTGTAAATTTATCATTTTCGTCTTATATTATACATATAATGTATGCATGTATTCCATGTACATATCAAAATATGCAATGTGCTTTTAAATTGACTAAATCCGCACTGTTGACGTTTAATGATGAGGGAATGGAATCCAGGGGTAGATTTAGTACGAATCTTTTTTCTGGATTCTTTGTTAATATACTATATGATTAAATTTATTCAAAACCAAACACCATTCTGATCGACCCATTTTTTATTTGGCTAAAATTTTTTTTTTACAGGTTCTATATCGAAAAAAGAGACACCTGTTATGGAATTTTTTTTTTGTGAGGGTTTAAAAATAAAGATTTTGGTGGTTGAAGACTCATTTTCTAATATCTTTAACTCCAGTTCATTTTAAGCTAGAGAAAACTTGTTTTTTCTTTTTAAAGGTAAAAAAGTGAATTTTGAGAAAAAAATAAATCCAAAAAAATTTAATATTATAAACA